AATATTAGTATTTTCGGCTCTTGATTATTCTTAAGCTGACTAGTTCCCTTCGTCCACAAAGACCGAATTGCATATAATTAATTTAAGCTCTTTGCATGATCTTAATTCACCCAACTGAGCTGTATGATAGCATATTGACACCGCTTGAATATGCTTTTCATACAATTTTATTTATTTTAACTTCTCAATAATGAAATTGGTATTACGAATGACAGACAACTCTTCATTTATAGGACAAATTGAAAGAATGAATCGCCCTGTAGATTGTATGTATATATACACTCGTATACGTTTATGGTCGCCTATTCGAAAATTTTTCTAAGGTTTATCAAAGTTAGAAAATATTCCCCAGAAAATAACGTAAATAACTCGTTCATTATGCTAGGAAATTAAATTGACCGTGCAATAAAATTCAAATCCAAAGAAAACCTTAGCATGGAGTAATAGTAATAGCTTGTCTTCCAATTTATTGGGAGTGCAATCTTAACGAAGGATAAAAACTACCCATTAGAGAAAGATTTTACTTTATATGCAATTGACAAAAACATCATTTATCGTCTGATAAGTAAAATTAACTTGCAAATTAGTGCAGTAGCGACTTCTATTGACACCAATATACCACATATTACTATCTACGTTTTCCAATAAGGCATAAATAACTGATAACCTTGTTCATAAACCTTTAATCGATAATGTTCTTGTAATCATTAACAATGGATAATACATCCCTATTAGTATAGAATCTCTTATATTAATTTCAACAGCTATTTTAGTTAGTTAATTTTGCTCACGATACAGCTGGTCCTATTTATTTGAACGTGATGATCCTATCAACATCTACTATTTCTATAATACTTTAGCTTATTATAGTTCGTCAACAGTAGCAAAATGCAAACCTTTTACCACATAAAAACTTTAAAATAAAATTTAGTAACAGCCATAGCTGAAAACTGGCCTTTTCGTTTCTTACCCTAACTTCGTATCACTTTGTATTTTCGATTTAAATAATATTTATGAGAGTTCAGATGAAAAAAACTACAATTGAAGAATAACTAAGTTTGACATATAGGATATAGACTATCTATTGAAATTCTATTGAAATTGCAATTATAATAGAGTGTATTAATTTGACCCAAAGTTCTGACATAAGAGAATTATTGCTAATCTAAAAAGGACGAGTGCTAGGAATAACGAATAATTGAACTCTATTAAATTAAGGTTAGAATTACCTTGTTCAGTGCTCATAACCTTGCATATTTAAAAATTCAGCTCGATGTATCCTATCCACATTCGGCTGCAGAAATATAATCTAATGACAAAAAACACAATGTAGAAAACAATTTCACTATATTGCAAAATTACAGAAGCTTTTTAAAGATCAACACCCTTAGGAAGACTTTCAATATGCTTCAATCCCTTAGGATGTTTCTTAATTCTATGGAATGCCATTAAATCTGAATTCTTCTGGAATCTCACTTCTCCCTTATTAGGCATAGCTGCCAACAATCCCAAGTGCTATTTTATCTCCAAATGGAGAAATCGATTAAAAGTTTTAGTATCAACCAAAGCTACTGCTTTAAATCCCCATATAGAAGCGAAATTGCAGCTTTAAGTGGCACGAAAAACATAGATTAATTATTAATAGCAACAAGCAGCCGTTTCCCCGTGGCAGTTTACCGGAAACAAAGAGACAATTAGACCACCGTGGAGTATCTTGCTGATGAACAGCATGACTCCAGCTACATTAGTCATGATAGCATTTCACATTTTTAATACGACAATGCATAAATTATCAGCAATGTACCCCCGAATGGATTGTGCTATCTACGCAAGAATTATTGTTCATATTAAAAGTGCGGAAAAATATTTGTTTTGAACATCGATGTGGAATTACCCTAATTTTTGGAATCGGATCATTTTGTCATGTATTCAACCGATTTGGACTAAACGATACAGCCTACAATATAATAACCATTTCTAGTATTATATTTAACTGCTAGTTTTGAAGTTGAAGAAGTAAACCTTTAATTGTACGAATAATTATCTTCATACGTGACCTCTGTTCAATCGATTCATGATGCTTGTTATAAGATTTCACTATGATCATTAATATAACATCATATTTCCCTTCAAATTTCCTTCGATGTAATATCAAGCACATAATACTAGTCTATCTGGATGGAGTTTTTAGGCCAATAGAACAGAGTCAATTAGCTTACTGTAATAAGACATTTACTAAGCTGCAAGCTCTTTAATCACTAATGGATATTGTATGACCCATAGTTATAAGCTTATTATAATAATAACTTTCCAATATTAAAGTGCCTTCAAATTTTCTCGGCACTCGCTGACCAATTATGTAATGATTATAAAGTATGGAACGGCCGTTATCTTGACTTTGTTGAGCTATCTTACGAAATAGGAATGAAATTTATAGCAATATATTCGAGTGATTGCGAATCTAGTTTAGGATCTATAAAGTGATACAAAAATTCTGTCAATCACTATATGCATGCATAGCATGCTCATTTCTGTTGGGTTTCGCCATCTTCCCCCAAAAATGAATACTAGTACATCTATAGTAGAGCTATAGAAGTGAATGGATGTGTATCGTAACCATATACCACCAAGCACCTTTCATGAGGAAGGGTAATCATCAGATTCGCTTGATTTAAAGCAATCATTGAAGAAGAATCGATTGATATTGACTAAATCATTGTGTAGTTGCCGTCATTAAATGTCATTTCAATGTTGTAATAAAGCTGCTGGAAAAGTTATTCTTATCAGCAGGTTATGTCGAGTAAACTAAGTAGAACTTGAATATAATACCCAATCTAGAGCTGATGATAATAAGTATATACCCGTACAATAATATTTATGACAATTTCAGTAGAATGATTGGAACTTTGAAAAATATAATACTAATCATAGAATTGTTTTCATTATACGTAGCTCTTTAAGTATTAAGGGATTTGTTACTAATTTTTATCTTGTAAATAAGGTAGGTTAAATATTCAAGCAGATATGCATTTCTTACGCTTTTATTCTTAGTTCTCCTTTTTCAAGATCTATTGCAAGAAGCTTTCTTCTTCGACTGTTAGAATTTGTTACACTATTTCATAGTGAAGTATCTCAATCATTAGAGAATCAAAAATATAATTGGTTATTATAAAATTCTTCTTGTAACTCACATGCTGGGTAGAGTTAGTAGAACAGATTTATTACAAATGCAAAGGCATTGTCTACGATAACGTTATAACATTTGACAGTACTGCATCGCTAGTCAGCTTTTAAATTGAAGAAATTAAATCGCAACTGTATAAATGACTTCCATAGGTAAACCCCAGTTCAATCCATTCATTTATAATTTGTATTACAAGATTTACCTTGGCCATGAAAGCAAATAGTATCATCCTCTTAAAATTTAGCGTCGGTCCTATATCATAAAGCATGCTGAATTTTAACTTTAGATATAATATCATGTGAATAATATCATTCTGTCTAGATATCGTTTTCTTGCCAATAGATTGAGTTGATTGGCTTACTGCCGTAGGACGTAGACTAAGAGCTAGACCTTTAGTTGTTGAAGGATATTGATTCTTGTTTATATGCTCGTTATGATAATAACTATCCAATATCAAAGTGTCTTTAAAATTAACATCACACTCGCTGGCTATTTATGTATTGATCATGAAAAGTCCAAAATTCATTACTGTAATGATTATCTACGAAAATAGATTTAGCAATCAACCACATCTACGTTTATCTAATTATCTTTAGGTTGTTAGTCTATCCTACAAAATAGGAATTTAATCCATAAATATTCGAGCTTTCACCTTTTGGGAATTCAAGAAAATAAATAAAACCGGCATCTTTACATTCTTAGATCTCTAAAATAATCTAGAAATTCTGTCTATCGTGACATGCATGTATGGGGTATCCATTTCTTTTGGGATTCGAATTCTTCCCCGAGGATGAATGCGTGTATATTAGTTTAGTAGAGATAAATGGACGTGTATCACAACTATATACGAAGTATCCTTTCAGGAGGATGGGTAATCATCAGGGAAAGACAAATCCCTGGTGTACTCCTAGTTAAACATACAATCGTAGGGAAAAGGATACACTTTGGCAAGTAATCTTCGAATCCGTCAGGGGCTGTTCAACTCAATAAAGACGCTTTGTCCATTAAACATGGACTGACAGTAATTCAACATAGTGGTTAGAATAATTGGGATACTTTCAACAGTAATATCAACTCCCCCAATTTTAAATCAAAATACGATAGACATACTTCAGTCATTACTGTAGAATATGCAATATCTTATACAGTGAAAAAGTAGGGTATCGACAGATAATACTGTATCATAATCATCATCACAATTCATTATGTAAACAAATAGCAACAATCCTGTAATGAATCCATATTATTTTGCATAAATTCGAATAAACTCAGCTCAACCTCATGAATCGAACTATCGCCCAAAATGAAGTAAGTAGCACTAGTCGAACTTTCCGCTCGTGATGCTGCAGCTATCTGTTTTCAGGGAAGAATATCTCGATAGACTTTTAAAACAGTAGTGCTGCTAATGCGGTGCTACAACCCTTTACTTGCTCATAGCTGAATAGCAGTGTAGACCATGATTATTTATTTACAGTCTATAACCAGATCTCATTAAATCATCGAAAAGGGAAAAAATCTGCTTAGGAATCATTTAGAAGGTGATTTTATAGTAATTTGCGTAATTTATGCAATATTGCTACATTATAATATTAAAATAATAAACAATGCTGCTTATTTATGCCATAGTGATCATCATCTCGACTTACAATTGGAGAGCAAGCGAACAACATAAAAGGGCTGATCTTCTTACAAAATTCAATTCATCACCAGCACCGGTAGTTTCTAAACTAAAAAGGCGATCATTAATTTGGACTCGTTAAAGTTTTAATCTCTCAAGTCAGTTTCAATCTAATTATCGTTGACATCAAGTGGCAAAATGGTGAGAATAATTTAGAATGTACTGTTTTTTGTTCTTAATTTAAATTCTTAACCTGCTTAGCTAGCTCGAATAGATATTAGTCTTAGTTTTTTGTAATAATAATGGTAGTAATTGTTGGTATTATTGTCATACATAGTAAGTTTATTACTAACCATTTCATTTAAGAGTTTATAACATTTAAAATTTAAATAATTAGTCTCAATTCTTTATTTAGCTTAATTCATTGCTAACTTACGTCAATGGAATGCATGAGAAACATTAACTGATTTTGCTTTGTCTTTGAAAATATAGGTACGCTCCACCATTTCAAAATTGTTGATAATCCCAGTAATGATGATTCTTTTAATCGCCTTACCCTATGGTAGTGCACGATCTTCTCAATCCGAAGATGCAATGTGCAAGGAAACAAAATTGGGTTCGCATTCAGTGAAAGAAATCGATAACACCAAAGGTTTGAAGCATACATCCACAAAGATTAAAAAATCGCTAGAAACAGACAACTTTGGTTTCACTTGCTTTGTCGCTGAGAAACTACAAGCATTCATACCTCCACAAGTATTATCCAACTTTACGCTTCGTGGGCCTTCTCAATATGCCTATACAAGCTGTGATTATGCAGGCTGTTCACCTAAAATGATTGAAAAATGTGAAAAAGCGAATATGAAGCAGCGAATTGAGTTTGAATACGATGTTTTAGATGACAGTTGGCCCTCAGTGGATAAGAAAGCAGTGTTTTCATTATATGTACCAATCCATTGTGCATGTATACAACAGGAAGTAAAATTTAAATTGATAGTAGAACCGTAATTTACTTTCTGTTATGCTGTATAAGTCAAAGATCATAACTTGCCATAGAAGAAGTTTAAATTAATATCAGATAAAGAATTATTAAATTTAGTACCACGATAAAATACTTTTGTATCCTTCCCTTGTTTATATTAGTGGCCGTTTTGCCCTTAATTATAAATTATATTCGGGTCATATACATCCCGTTTAAGCTTATATATTGTTCAAGTTGACATGATTATAGAAAGATGTATCAAGTACTACTTCTATTTATATATCTAATAGGCATAGACTAACTTCGCTTATTTGCCCTGGCAAGCTTTTCCGCGCTACATCCAATTTTGCAGAATTTAAATTTATCATGCAATGTTGGACTACTATCAGTATTGTATATCACGACTGTGAATAATTTAATTATCTATAGCAACTAAGTAAACAAGAATTTCTACCGTAATAACTGATTTTGTTGTCGTTGTGAAAGTAAGACATAGAAAAATATGGTATCCGACTAATACAGTTTTCTAGTAGGCTTTATCTTGGAATTTATTGATAATATCATAAAATTGACATATTACGCGTGTAATATTTTTAATCGATAACTATGTTAATTAATATTTCTATCTTTAAGTATTGATAACTAATGGATAGTGCCATTGAAGTACAAATTGACTCAACTTTTAATAAAGTTTAAGTTCACTTTTTATCGCATAAAGACCAGTGGTTGCTGTAACTTTCTGAGGATACGGAGATCATTGGTAGTTACTCACATACTATAGGGAGAAATCAAGAAGGATGAAACAGACTTACAGTGTCATTTTAGCTATACTACTGTATGTACTATCAGCACAAATAAAATAAAATTGGCCAAATTGTTAAGTTTAGGGACCCAAAGTTTAAATTTAAATAATAAGATTCATCGTATCCTAACTGTATGCATATTGTCAAACTGTAGTTGTATAAACCCTGGTATTAAATTATTAAAAATAGACAAAGAATAATACCGTAAAACAGGCAAACGTTGACGATGCAATTTAAGCTATTCTCATACAATCTTGCTTGGATCACAATCTAAGCTATCTTAGGGGCTGCATACAGTTACTTTATTCGGTGCTCGTGACCTTGCGGATTTGGAGTTTTAGCAAGATGTACTGTATCTACATAAGGCTATAGTAATAAAATAGAATTTCAAAATCACAATGCTGAAAACTATTTGCACTATACTGCAAGGTTTTAGAGAAGTTTTAAACGATCAGTACCCGTAGGAAGACTTTCAATGTGCTGCAATCGCAAGCAATCTCCCTTAATTAATCCTCTGAAAGCTACGACAATATATGAACTCTTAGGGAATATCTCCTTTCTCTCTTGGGCATAACTACCAACGATAAGCTGTTCTATCCTATCTCCAAATAGAGAAATCGAAGAAAACTTTTAGCATCTGCCAAAGTCGCTATCTGTAGAAACCACATAAAACAACATTGAGTGCTACGAACAATGTTATAAATATTAAATGCAATCGCTACTCCATTACAGTTGGCCGAGAACGACGAGACAGTTAGACTGTTGTCGAGTATCTTGCTGACGACGAGCATGACTCTAGCCAGTTAGTCATGATCGTATTTTAAAAGGTTAGTATTAGATTGAATAAATTAGAAATGTATCCCTGAAATAGATCGTACTATCTACAGTATACCAGAATCGATATTCATACTGGAGTGAGAACAGAAATAGTGATCTTGATCATCAAGGAAGAATTGCCTAATTTCTTGACTCAATCTATTTGTCATGAACACAATCGATTTAGGTTGAACGATGTAGCCTATATAGCATTTTACAACATTACGCTTGACGGCTAGTTTATAAATTGAAGAAGTGAAACTGCTACTGTACAAATAATAATTTTCATAGATAATCCTTCCTCAATCGACTCATTTATAATATATGTTATTACAAGATTGCGATGATCATTAATTTGATATGACATGACCTTTCCCGTCAAATTGAGTATCAAAATTTATCATGAGGTAAGCCGCTTTTTAATCTTTGACATAATATCATGCAAAGAATGAATGCTATTCTATCTGGGTGCAATTCTCATGTCAATAGATGGAGTTAATTGGCTTACTGTAATAGAATGTAGATTAAGAGCCAGCCAGTTACTGTTGAAAGGATACTAACTCACGGTTATAAGCTCGTTAGAATAGTATCTACCCATGTCCTTTATCAAAATGTCTTTAAAATTAATACTTTATTGGCTAGGTATGTATGCAATAATTGGTTGGCGTCGAAAAGTCGTTACCGTCATGATCATTTACGAAAATCGGCATGGTAATCAATCAAATACAAGTTCATCTTGTTATCTTTTGGTTGTTGACCTATCTTATAGACAAGGAATGAGATTTATAGCAAAGTATTTGAACGATTTCCAATACGAACTTTAAGAAAATAAACACAACCGGCTCCAATACAGTCTTGGATCTATAAAAATTGATCAGAAAATGTGTTAATCACTACATGTATTTATGGGGTATCTATTTGTGGGAGTTCGCTTTTTTCCTCAAAAATAAATCTATTTACAGTACAGTAAAGAATTAGAGATAGATGGACATGCATCACGATCATGTACAAAGGAGCCTTTCAGGAGAAAGGGTAATAATCACATTCACTTAAATTCAAACTATTATTAAAGAGGAATTAATCAATATTGGCATTATCAATCATCATGTAATTACTGCCATGTATCAAATGTCATTTAAATGTTGTAATGAGCCTGTTAGATTATTTATTATTGCCAACAGGTTACGTAGAAGTAAAGTAAGATAGAACCTGAAATAGTACCCAGTCTATATGAGTAATGTTTACCATAATTAATTTAAGTTTATTGATTTCAGCTTGATTGCAGCATCGTAGAATTTAATGAATACTAATTACATGATTGCTTTCTCATACTAATTTCTGTAAATGTTAAGAGATCAAGTTTGCAATTTTAATGTTGTAAATAAAGTAAGCTAAATATTTAAGCAGTTATATTTTCCGGTCACTATTGGTCTCTGTCCTTCTATCCTAAGATCTGATGTCGTAAGAACTTTCCCCCTCATCTTTTAAGAGCATTTAGTGCTATTAAGTAACATCTCAATCCAAGAACAACAGTAATAAAATTGATTATTATAAATTTTTTGTATAATTTACATACTGAGCCGTGTTAGTAGAACAGGTTTTATTGCAAACGTAGTGATATAGTTTATGATTATATTACAAAGTTTTACAGTACTGTATGGATAGTTTTTAAGTTAAAGAAGTAAAACGACAACAGTGTGAATGGTAAGCTTCATAGGCTACTCTTGATCAATCGATTCATAATACATGGCAAAACTTTTTGCCGTGATTATGAATATAAACAATACCATCTCTGAAAATTGAGCACCTGTACTTTATCGCGTCGTAAGCGGAATTTTAACTTTCGATGTAAATAAAACGATTTTACCAAGATGTAATTTTCTTGTCAATAGACTAAGTGATTAGCTTACTGTAATAGGGCGTAGATTATACCCTTACTCGTTAAAGGGTAGTAACCTATGTTTATAAGCTCGCTGTAATAATAACTATCCAATATCAAAGTGTTTCTAAATTATTGCTGTACTCACTGGGTATTTATGCGACGACTATATACATGGAGAAGTCACTAATGTAATGATATTCGGCGAATACCTGCTTGGTACTCTATTATAAACAAGTATATCTAATTATTTTCAGGTTGCTGACTTATCCTACAAAATATAAATTCATCGTTAACGTATTTGAGTGATTGTGAATCAGGACTTCAAAGAAAATAAATAAGCTGCGACCAATACAGCCTTGCATCTATAAAGTAATGTGGAAGTTCTGTAAATCACTACATACGGTACATGCATAGCATGTTTATTTCTGTTGGAGTTTGAATCTTTCCCAAGAATGAATACTGGTACACTAGAGTAAAAGGAAAACATAGACGCTTATCAGGACCATGAAGGGAAAAGCTTTCTACGAGGGTGGATAATCATCAGGGAAAGAAAAATCTCTGATACGTTGCAAGTTCTACTTACAGTGACGGGGGAAAGGAAGAATTATGGTGAATAGTCTCTGAACCATTCAGGGGCAACTTAAATCAACACAATTGCTTAGTCTATTAAAATATCGGTTGACAGTAATTCGCCCTAGTGATTAAAATAATTAGGATACCTTCAACAGTAATACCTATTCCTCAATTTTAAATCAAAATACGATCAATTTCATACTATTCTTAATGTAGAACATGCAGCACATTATACAATGGATAGGGTATGGACAGATTATGCTGTGTTATAGACACCAAAATTCATTAACTAAACAAATAGCAGCAATCCTGAATTCACATTATTTATTTTGGTAACTTCCAACAAGCTCAGCTCAACTCCCTGAATCAGTTTATTGCCTAAAGTGGAATCTATATAAGTATGCAAGCCACCTGATGGTGATACTTTGCATATCAGTTTTTTAAGTAGAATATTTCAGTACTCACTCAGTAGTACTGCTAGTACATAGTACTTTACTTGCGCATAGTTGAGCAGTAATGCAAAAGATGGTTATTTATTTACAGTATACAAGCATGACGCCTTAAGATTCAGCAGGGAAAAAAGTCTTCTAATAGATCGATTGGATGGTGATTTTTCTAATTCTTTACCTAATTTATTCAATTCTATGTTTTATCATTAAAATAATAAATAATGTAGCATAACTTTGCTATGGCAATTATAATTTCAACATGCAATTGTAGTGCAAGCGAAAAATATAAAAAGGGCTGATTCTCTTTCAAAATTTAGTTCACCAACAGGACCAGTAGCATCCAAACTAAAAAGGTGGCAATCAATTTGGACTCGTTGAACTTGCAATTTCTCAGCCTAGTTTCATTCTCATCATCAATCACATCAAGCAGTAAAATGGTGAGAATAATTGGAAATACATAGTTTTTTCCAATAGCTTAATTATTTAACCAGCTTAGCTTGCTCTAATAGATATTAACCTCACTTTATTGTAATAGTAAGTTATATACTATTTGACCTGTTTGATCTTCAAAAATATAGGTGCACTCCATTATTGCAAAATTGTTGACAATCCCAGTAATGATGATTATTTTAATCGCCTTACCCTATGGTAGCCCTCGACCTTTTATACACGATGAGAGTGTAGAGAAGGAAAGATTTTTGAATGGGTATCCGTTGAAAAAAAACGACAATACGAAAGATTACAAGCATACTTCTGCAATAGATAAAAAATCGCTAAGAAAAGATAACTTAAATTCATCATGCAATATTAGTCAAACAGTAAAATTGTTCAAGGCTCCAAAGGTATCATCCGATCTAGTGTTTGGCCAACCATTTCAATATTCCTATGTAAATTGTAAATATGTAGGCTGTTCTCCTGAAGTGGTTGCAAAATGTGAAGAAGCAAATCAAAAACAGCGAATCGAATTTGAATATAATGTCGCAGATAAGAGCTGGCCCTCAGCGGATAAAAAATTGATATTATCACTAGTTGTTCCAGTTCGATGTTCATGTCTATAATAACCTAGAAATTTTAAATTGATGGTAAATCCGCACAGTAATTTCCCTTGTACTTTACGACGTACAGGGTAACACTTATAATTACTACGGTACTTGTCGAGAAGGATCTTAAAACCCGATTCTAGAAATTGAATTGCTTAATGCAATAAATCGACAAATGTGTCTGCAACTTTTCTCTTATTTATGTAGTGTAAGTTTTGCCCTTAATTATAATTATATGCGGGTCATGTGGATTCTGTTTTGTACTTCTATGTTGTATAAATTGATATCATTACAGACAGTTGGGCTAAATATTGTTACTAATTATCTATAGAAATTAAATAATACAACTATTACTACCGTGATAACTGATTTTGTTATCGTCGAAGAAGCAAAAGTATTGTATCCGATCGCTACGGAGTAACTTTTGTGTAGCACCTGTAATATAATTTTCATAGGATACTTTATCTAGAAATATATTGATAATAATTTAAAATTGATATCTAGTAATATTTTTAGGGTTAATTGACAACACCACTGTTTTATACTTTTATTTATATACTGAAACTAATGGTTATTGTCATTGAACTATAAACTGACTCAATTTTCAATAAATACATTTAAATTTTAGTTCTCGGTTAAAGAAACCAGTGGTTGATAGAACTTTCTGACGATAAGGAGATCATTAGTATTTAGAGTCGTACTGTAGGGAGATATCCGGGAAGATAAAGTATATGTATCGTGTTATTTTGGATTTACTACTTTAGTATTGTTAAAAATAAAATAAAAATGGTCAATTTATTAAGTTTACGAACACGTAAGTTTAACCTAAATATTAAGCTACATTATAGCCTAACCGCATGCATATTTTCAAACTGTTGTGGTGTAAACTTTAATATGAAGTCATTAAAAATAGGCTAAGAATAGTATTTGCTAGGCTAATGTGCATTTGTGGTGGATCTTGAGGTTGACAAGAGATACCTTTCATAAAATGCAACTCGCACTTTCCTACTAATTAATTGACTTTATTGAAGGTTACACTGCACATACATTAGCAGAGTAATTGAATGATCGTGTGAAGCAATGCCAAAGAAGTCTTAAGACTTTCCTTTTTATAAGATACTAGCTGTAAAAGTAACGGATCGTTTTGTAACTTAGCAGCATCGTACTATACAGATATTTTAATTTCTAAATTCCTATACACGACCTAGACAAGCATTTTCATAACGTAACAAGTTGATAATTCGTAATCTATGATTATTATAACTTATAACTTATCTACTATAGTAATAATTATCAGACAAGACTGTGATATATACCAATCACGAAATTCCAAATTTTAGAAAAAATAAGGGCTTTATTGAATCTTATACAAAGATTAACTACACACAGCTCTACTCTAGCCGAATACTACTACTAAAGACTTCTAGAATGAACTAACAGAATAATCTAAAGTTGCATGCTTTTATACTTTTCGTAGCATTCGCAGCTACATTCCGCATGGCAACCTTTTACCTTATATTACACATAGTTAAATTATTCTTAGTATGACTATTCTACTGCGGACCATCATTAATCCAATATGGATACGACTGCAGTACTTACGTAGACATTATTCACACCAGCCAAAGTACAATGAATTAACCATATCCTAATATATGATTTACAGTTTTATTTTTACCTATAGCCTTATTAGTAACTCAACACCTTACTGTATATAGTCATCTGTACTCTAGCATAGAGTCTCTACCACTACAGTCTATAGTTATAGCTACCAAATATCTCTTAGGATAAATATCTACCGTACATTATACTAAACATGGCTAATAATCTGCAATCACAATACTAGTTACATTACAATGACATGTCGCTACGGTTCGGACTTAGTGTATTAGTGCGACGATACACATATTTTAATGATTAAATGATTATTAGCGACAGCATTGATGAACTGGTTGACGAAATAAATTTAATTAACTAGAGGCAACTTTAGACTTGTGATATGCCTTACGTAGACCGAACGGATTACTACAACTGCTCCTTCGTATGATAGCAATTTTAGCGTGCATTGACTATCAAGATTTTCCACTAGATTAAAGTAAATCTACTTATGCTGCTTTGAAACGAAATAAATGTTATTAAAATCAGCAAGATCAAATTTAAAAATTTCCTAATTTCTAAGATGGCATCGCAATTAAAAGTTGTGATTTCAAATTGCGGCTTGATCTTATAGATTATGGTATGAAAAAAGTCATAACAATTTCTCATTAGAAGTGTCTCATCGTGTTGCAAGCTATCAATCCGGTAATTAGATGACTGGAAAAATAGGAAAATAATTTATTATACACTCACTGTAATATCCAATCTTGAAATAGAGAAATTATGAAAACTTTTATCTTAGGTTTAAATATCCTTAATGGCGGACTATTAAACAGCTACAAAGCTTCATAATAGTATTTACATAAGTTAAGCATAGAAAAAATTCATTACGATCAATTACTGCACTTTGTAATAAAATGTTCCGCTAAACTATATCATGACTTTAACCAAACTTATCATCTTAATACAATTTTATTATCAAAAATCATCGAAAATAGGTAAAGAGTAGGATTTGATTAGTTGTTTGTACATTTTTCAGTGGGCAAGTATGTCACGTTAATAAATTAGAGAACAGTTTAAATTCAACTGGTATTACATACTGTAGGACTATACAATACTTGAAATATTGGAATAATTTTAGCTCACTTCACATCAAGATTATTTATTTTCCTACTCATGTCCAACAGAACTTAAGACGTAGATTTATATAAATATCTTAACTAAAATCATAAGGATAACGAAGTATAAATTGGATATTTTGGTTTGGTTCATATATCCATAGCGACAGTTTATCTTCATGGCGGAATATTTTCTACAAACTGTACAGCTATGAAAGTGTTTAAAAGAAGTGCTAAATGCAAACTTATCAGGTAAAAGAATGAATACTATCAGTTAACAGTTTCTGTCTGTAACCATTTTAAGAATTTCTATCCAATCATGGAAGTCCTATGTTTAGCTTCGTAAATGATAGTTGTATACTCTCCACCTATTTGGCCAGCATATGGTCGAAGAGGAATTTCCTCTGCGTCATTATTGATATAGCCCTTTTCTTTATCGACTAGATCATTATTACCGTCAATCATTTCTTCGTAGTCATCATTAATACTTTTCTTGGTTAGTGATTTACTATAAGAAAAAGTGGATTTTAAGGAATAAATATATCTAAGCTTAAAAACTAAGCTTTATAATCGCTATAATATATCCTAGCTCGCACTTAACTTATTTTACGGGAATTTAACGATATAGATATAATATTGACTTAATTATAGTAATAACACTGCAATGCTATCGATAAGAATGGTAAATTAACTAGTTTTCGTTACCCTTGGCGTCGGTAATAAGCTACAGCCACTAAGAGAATGGCAGTAAATGAACCAAGTCCAGCACCTGATGTAATCAGGATGATGGTAATGGCTAAATAGTAGCAAATAATTTCACTTTATTAGAATAAAGTGTTGAATATTCGATAGCTTCTTAGTAATTTTTGAAAAATGTAAAATGAAGTCCTTACTGCTTAAATTTTGGCAATTTTTGCCGGTAAAAAAGATTGTACAACTGAAATAGAATGATTTACTATAAGTCATCATGGATAATGATATAGAATTATTGTAGAAGTCTTTCAACCGCAATTTAATATGAAATCACCATTGCTATAGCCAATAAAAAACAATATAGTAGGCATAAATGCTATCTTAACCATTCCATTTTGCAATGTTTGAGAACTCACTTATGGAATTGTAAGCTTGATTTCATGCTACTCATCAAAATACTTACATACAAACAATTTCGTTAGCAGTACTATCAACACTGCAATTGCCGCCATTTAAGCAGCTAGTAGCTGTACAAGTCACTGAAAAATGAGTCAAAAATAACAATTAAAGGAGAAATAACATTTAATTTCATCTTTTATTCTATTTGCAGAGAATTCGTAGTATGTCAACAGCTATAAAATTGCTTATCTTGTTGGCTGAAAGCAATTGATTTAATAAACGACCAGCTATAGTACGTTTGTAACTACCTTGAGAAGGATTGATGGTAGATTTCAATGTACACGAGTATTTTCCATCTTCATTAATACATTTTTCATTCGCTTTGCATGGACTTACACTTGCCAAACATTCATTGATGTCTAAATTATAAGTTGGTAAGTCATATACCTTAATTCGCGTAGCTTGATGTAGTTAGCTATTTCTCTGAATATAATTCTTTATTGGCCTTATAGACCTTTATGATTGATTCAGTTAGCCTATGCATGACTATCTTATTTCGTAGCACTAATACCTGAACAGCCTTTGGTGGAAGTGTTAAATTGAAAGCCTGTCGGGCAACGCTGACATTTGAAGCCGTCTTGTAAATCAATGCAGGTTTCTTTTTGGCCTGAACAAGGATCATTATCGACTGCACACTCATTGGTTTCTATAATTATTGTATATTGTAAAATAGAGAAGAGACTAAGCGATTACAACAACAATTTACGGAAATATTTTTTATGTGCTGAAAATATTTAAGATCACCGTATATTACTGATATAAAATATATAATGTTCCAAGCAGACTAAGTACGACAGGATATGGTATTCTATTCATTTTAGAGAATACTAAACCATGATTGATCTTCCAATATTACTAAGTGCCGTTATATTACTTAACAACATCGAGCAGCATTAAAATTATATGCTGTTGCATTATGCTCTAGCTATTTTCATAGCTACTACCGTAATAAGAGTATTAATTAGTCTGAAGAAAAACGAAGCTATCGTTAATTTCTAATTTCCGAATGTATTTTTGTCATCAAATGCAAATCAAGAAAACGAACTAAAATTTGTGACTATTTTACTTGGACTGAATAATGTTTGCTTTCGTTTGTATTCATGATCATTTATACTGCAATAAATTGAAATGCATCAAAAGCAGGATAGTTATTACGGAAAGAACTTTTAGTAACTAGAGACGCTAAGGTCATCTATTTTGTCAAGATTACTCAAATCTACACATAAAAGTTTTGAAAGTGTATTCTAAAGGTTAAATAGATTTTCAGATGGTCTTACCCGTCACGTTAACTCCCTGAACTACTATGCTGCCCACCGTTTGAACATTTTGTTGGATAGTGTCTTGAATTGCAGTTTGATTTACTGTGGCATTATTATCATAAACAGCATAGAAATCGACAATAATACTCCCAGACCTAGAATTAGACAAAGAATAGTAAATGAATTAATAGTTTTCACTATAAATATCTGATGTGAAATCTGTACGTGCACTTAACCAATACTAAAATTAGGCAGTAGTCTTAGCAAGATGGTATAATTCAGGTTATACTTAATACGTGTATATCAAGATAAGCGTTTGACGAAGTTAACTATGGTTGTTAAATTATCATTCTTATTTCTAAAATGAATATCACCTTAGTAGCAAAAGATTAATTGACAACGCTCTCATACCTAGTGCTTAAATAATAAAGTGCCGCTAGAGACTTAAGCAAAATCTTAATACCTCAGGCCGGTGATGATGATATATAGAAAATTGGTAGCTGCATCTTGGGAGTTTCGTATCGCGGCTTCGATCTAGAAATAACCATCAGTGTAAACAAAATCATGGAAATCTCGTCCATGTAAATTGCTTATATAAAACAAAAATTAGTCAAGCTGCAACCTAGTTAGATTACCTGTGTTTTGCTATCATTCTTTATTCGTTGTCCTTTTTGATTGTTAGGATCATTTAATGTAGGCTCAAATACATCGTCTAGAGATAGAGTACCAGTAAAATAGCTACCCTCTAAATAGGGGGATTACAGCTAATTAAGTGATCATATTATCAATGTATTAACCTAATCTCTAAAATCATTTTGTATCTGCTTGTATGCAAGACAAGATCAATTTGCCTAATTATTTAATGCTTACTAGCTATCTACTGTTATGGCTAACTATGGTGTAAAACAAGAAATTTTAACCGTAGAATGGCGGTATGTATTATTTTAGCCGTTAGAAATATTAGTAACATACGAAGCTTGCTAGAAAATGCATATTAAACTGCTTTACATAGGCTGTTTAATTATATAATAAACGTACCTAAGCACCCTTGGCTATTTGTTAAAAGGGCGTTTACATCTTGCTGATAATAGCCCACTCTGCAGGTGCAAAAGTATCCGATCGTTAATGTTGATAGTGCATTGCAGACAGCAAAAGGTTGGCATGGATTATTCAGGCAAGGATTCACGGTTGGAGTTGGCGTAGTCACAGGTGAGTTTGTAGTTGCTGGATTACTGATTGAATTCGTAATCATGTCGCCAGTATTATTTTGTGTGCTTGTAATTAAGTTATTGGACAAGGATAAATCACTGGAAAAGAACAAATCTAGGGTTACACTGGATGAAGTTGAGACCGAGAGACTACTCTGTTTCGAGGGAAGAATAGATAGATCGTTCTTGATGCTAGAACTCTTTAGATATAAATTACTGGAAACGAAGGATGATCGTGGAATATCAACCTTGGAAGAGCTAGAAACCGACATTTCTACTAAACTCGTTGAACTCTGCATATTAGACATGGCTACAGGTGAGGATGATAAAGACATGTCTTGAGAATAGAAAGACGAAGAATCAGAAGAGGAGGCAATATCCTTGCTCAATAGTAGACTGGATTGATCCTTTACGCTGGTACTGATTTGGGTATCCTGACTTGATATTGGCTGATTAGAAGTAGAAATAGAGAACGATAGATCGGTTAAGTTGGTACTTGACGACGGTGTTGTTATTGCAGTTGATATAGGCAACGATAGATTGGTTAAGATGACACTTGACGACGGTGTTGTTATTGCAGTTGATATAGGAATATTAGTAGCACTAAGCTGGCTAAGAAACCCAGATGACGGCGAAATTTTAGTAGTGCTCAATTCGGAGGAAGGATTGCCTTCGATACTGGACTGAGCAACTGAAGATGCAAAGACAACCGATAGATTACTGGATGGCGATTTGCTATAGCTGGAAACCATTGATGCAGAGATATTTGCGCTGACATAAATAGTTGGCTGTAAAGCGTCGCTTGAATTTGTTGAAATAAACATTTTCGTAGAATCCAACGTTAACATAGCAGTTGCATTGCTACTAATATAATTATTTGAAAAATCGAGCGATTGTCCAATTTGACTTTGGAGAGGTTCCGACATAACCTCAGCGGAAGTCATTGGAAAGTAAGCAGAAGAATCATCCATTAGAGCATCCGATAGTGAGGGAAATGGAGCACTGTCGGACTGGCTATCAATAGAAAACACTTCATCGCTTACAGTGATGTAGTTGTTGTCCTCCGATAGTAGTTGTTGAGAAGATATTTCCACTGAGTAAGGTAGATCCCCTGAACTATCTGTAGAACATGATAAAGTAGCGGTATTAATTTTAAAATGCGTTATAGTAGCTACGAGGCTAGAGTAAATTGTTATCCTTTTATCCTAGCCTAGCTTTATTTCGTTAGAAATGAATAGAACGAGCATTATTTACCGGCAAGTATAGATGATTGTAGAGCTTGATAAGAATTATCACCAGAAACTGCGCTATCACCGGGAAACTCACTGCTTGCATCAAACTGATCACTATCAATGGATATGGAAGTACCATGCACCACCGTTGCTAAAAGGCACATAGTAAGGTACATCGCAACCATCTGCATTGGAATTGAAAAGCGTTATTAGTGAGGCTAGTGGCAGTAAATTGCTAAAGTATGCAAATTTTACTAATGGCCATAGGTCTATCGCTTGAATGAAACGTTTGTAAATGTGAGAGCCAATAGCTGAACAGAGTTTGAATTCAATTTATGGCTAAAATCAATTCTGAGATAGATTGCGCTTAGAGGTTAAACTGTAAAATCTTGTCAGTATCTTATGAAAAAGTCATTATTGTTGATTTATTTGAATGCTGATTACGCTGGGTAGGAGGTCTACGTAATTAAAAGTTAAACATGAAATATAAGTCTTTTCATCTGCAGTATAGTTTTAGTGGCACATTATTGTAGAGAAAAAATTTATATGCGCAAAAGGAGATCCTCACATCCATCTCAGAATTAATCAAGCCCGCAATAAAGGACCTCTGGCATGATTAAATACTCTAAAATAATGAGGAATGACCGATAAAAGAAAGCTAAGGATTTAAATTAGAACTTAGTCTACAGTTTAAATGATAATCTCATATAAATGAGAAAGTAATAATTTATTTATTATCCGTTCAATCTCAAATTACTAGGTGATATCCATTCCAATTTCTTATCGTTGACTAGGATACTTTTGCAACCAAAAGCAACGATATAAAAACGATCTTCTCCATCATGAAGAATGTTAATTGCAGATTTAGCAGATTCTACTAGCGAACTGTAATGATAGAATTAATTGATGTATATACGATAGCCTTAGCATCTCTAGCGTGATGGCACATTGCTAAGATTGTAAGTAAAGGCTTTATATTCACAACAATGTCTTAATTAATGCCGCCATATTATCATTAATTGCAGTAATTGATAGAAGTTTCCGAATCATTATGCGATAGCACTTTAGGATTTGAAAAGAAATTTGAATATTCATGAAGTTGCTTGAAAGCTATTGTTCAACTCTGGTAGTGAAGAAAGAATGTGCCCTAGACATGGCCTACCGAAACTAAGTTGATGGTTATTGCGCTAATTTTCATTAATTGAAAATTGATTTTTTACAAGCTTCCCCATAGATAATGAATTGACGATGCTACAGCCCGAAATCAATGACTATTTGATCAAATATAAATTCTATGGCCACTTGCTGAGATCTAGGAATCATTTCTAATCCGTTTTGATCCTCTACATCTATCGCAGAAACGTCTAAAGAAATGATAAAATTACCTTTACAGTAGTTCATAACATCAAAATTTTCACGACATCACCAGTCGATGCATTTTTAGATGCTTAGGAAATTTGCATTGCTGGTTATTAATGAGGCAAATAAAATTACTCCCTAACTCTATAATTAATGGATAGGGATTACTTGTAAATATTACCTTATGACATTAAAATCGCCTCATTAGGTATGCTAACAAGTTAATTAAGTTCTTGTATAATTTTCTGTCGACAGAACTGAGGACTAAGAGGTTATCACTAATTGTTAGAGAAAGAAGTAAAATTGGATATGAACATCGGCGATGCCCGCAATTGTTAGGAAGGAAACCACCTGATTGCATTTACAGTGTTATAGAGGTGGCGTATATTATTATCCTTATCGACCCTGGATTTACTTAAAAACGATCATTGCCATATATTTAGGCGTGTGATATACGAAAATACATTACTTGAAAGCAAAAAATAAATTAAAACACGTAACCACAGGGTACTGGTAATTCGATAGCGACAGGATAGATTTATGGTTTATAATGGCATATGGCATTAGTAGAGATATTATAGTACGCCAGCATGAAATCAGTTTGATAACACCGCAGACATCATTTAATACTATCCTCTGCACTTTATAATAACTATAATATTGCTGAATCATGAATTAATTGAAGACTTGTAATGTAATATAGCCTGCTAAATCAAATAAAAAATCGATTCCAATTTGATGCTGGCAACTATCTAATTACTTTAGCTATTTATAATTAGCTGAAACAACCATAGCTAGGGTCTAAGAAATAGTAGTTTTATGGAAATGACCCTATGGGGCTAAAACTTACACATCTGAAAATGTTTGCCATTTTTACATCCGTTGATAGCTACTTCCTTCTTCCGTCTGCTAGAAATCAGAGATAATGGATAGCCTTATTGTTTTGTAGTTTTAAATAGAGTGAACGCCCTTACCTTAAGAAACCAAATTTGAATTGCTAATGATAGCCTGAACATACTGCCTATTTTCTTTCATTTCGATACTCTGAATTAGCGTACCATTCTCTTACAGCAAAAATTGACGATGAACTACAAATAAACAATATGGGAAACACCTATTCAAGAAAATACATAGGAAAGATATTCTGTTAACCCAATAACATAAACGAATTTTACATTGTTTTCCACAACGGCCTCTATTCCGCCGTTACGACACTTGTTAACGAATGATAATTAATTAATAAATATTATAGCTTTGTAGAGAGACTATTCATAGAAATTAAATTGAATTTTAACAGGTAGAGAGAATTTATAAGCACATTTAAATACTGCGTACAATGCCCTACTATATCACTGCTAAGAATATGTAGCTTGTGGTAAATTAGTATTTCTGCGGTCTAAAAGATTGGAAATTTTTCCTGATTTTACCATAATATTGCTTAAAATTGGAAATGACAAGATGCTAGTATCCTAGTTGATCTGCCATTAAGCTACTTCAACTTCTCCTGCTGAGATTCTGTTGGAGATCAAGAGTAATCGATTAAAGCGAATAAACGAAAAGCAGTATCTGTTAATGGAGAGTAGTAAACTGAATAATTTGATGTCAATTTCGCTTCTATAACAGTTGGTGCGGCAGGAATAACCAAAGGATAATAGTATACGAGTTGCTTTCTTTGCTGGCTTCAGAAACACCAGTTGAAGGCAACTTGATCGATTACAAATATTTGAAATATACACGTACATCGGCTATCCGTAATCGCTACTATCCAGTATTTATGCGGGCTTGCCAGAAGGCAATTGTCGATGATTTGATGGATTGAGAGCTGGCGGAATAGAGATAGATCATTGTAAGAAAATGGATTGCATATTGAAACTCCTAGTACCAGTAATCATAAGTAAGATGGCGGCGCTAGATTTGAGTGGGTTATTGGTTTCATGGATTATATTTAGACGTTAAGATAGTCGTGTGCTTTTCGGAGGGTGTTTAGTCGGTAGCTTAAGAGCTAGTTGTATATTCGTAGTTTACCTGGATTAAATTTTATGACTGTAATATTCTACAATAATTTTATATCAGAAACTACTTTTAACGTTTCTTGGAAGACCATTTTTTGAGTCACTAGTTCAGAGTAGGGCTAGAAATAGCATCTTATTAACTTACTGTACGTTATTTGTAGCAGTGCTGGAAGACTTTCGTCAGAAATGGCTGCAATAGCGGTGATAGGCTAACAGATAAGAAAGGCTCTAAGATTTACCTATCAGTCGACAAGGCATATAAATTAGTCGAATCAAACGATGTTGGTATCTAAATTTCCATTACAGATAGCCATGAAAAGCTGATCGAACTCGATCTCGAGAAAGATATCAACACAAAATAACTAATAAGAATATTACGTAACGGAGCTATACACTATATAGATATGGAATTCTGATTGCTTCTACCGGTGATAGAACTAAGCTTGCAATTTCCCTATTGAAGTAACGTTTAAGAGTATACAGTACTATAAATTGTGCATAGACTGCCTGTGAACGAAAAATCTTCACTAGTAGATATTTCAGATTGTGGTCATATTAGATTGACGATATCATTCTTAGATGTTCAGGTCTAAGCACTGTTTTAAAATAATCTGTTGCATGAGAAATCGTTGATGCAAGTAACCTGTCTGCAATCGCATGTCTTCAGCAAGCATACAAACACTTCACGGACTTGCCGCAAACTTTCAGCAATATGATCGCCATCAGCTTGCTTTGCCTATTTCTCTGCCTAACTACTGCCTAAATATTTCTCATTCAATACCGAACGATTTATCGACAGAGCATAAGATAAATGCTTGTGTTTTATGTTTCAGCGATTTAAATCCGAGCAAAACCTGAGCAAAAATAGATTATTTAAAACGCTTCACTGAAGCCAGTTAAATGGCACTAAAGTTCAGTATCTAATGCTCTAGGATGTAAGCTACTAGCAGTGATTTTAATCCCTTGTCATTATTTTGGTTAATGTACTTAACAATCAAGAAATCATGCTACGATAGTCGTTCTCATTATCTGTATCATCCAAAATTAATTTTCGAATGACTTGGCTGTTAAGTCAGTGATACCAAAGGCTGGATAATCTCACAGTTTATCCTAGAATCGATTAGACTATAAAATATTACTAAATGATTAATTTATCTCTTTATGAATTCTTTATGGATCTTTTTAAATATTGTAATAAAAGCAGAATTTTATCTTACGTTTCGTAGGTTTAAATTTATTATGATTTAGTAATCTTATACAGAATAAGATATAGTCTGCCGCATTACAGTTGATCAATCAATTAATTTCAACATTAGCTTCGAAAATTAAATCGTAAACTGGATATAAAACGCTACTAGAAAAGTTAAAATTCCAATAGACGAGAATATTTGCAAGCTATACACTATATTCAAACTCTATAAAGAAGCACTATTTATTTAGCATTAGTATTTATTGATAATATCTCCAAGTTATTAGCATTTATGAGCATTTGTTACTGCCGAACTTATAATACAATTCATTGATAAAGATGAGTATGAAAATGGAACGATGATATGGTTTAACAATTGGTGGCAGCGGCGGGATTTCGAATAGGAAATCATTGTGCCTTTACGGTTTGGAACTCAAGATATTCTTCAAAGAAGAAAATTACAGGAATATTTCTAGCAAATTATATCGTGTTAACTTCCAACGTTTATCACGGAATGTATCAAGCTACTCAACAGATAGATATTCTCACCGATATACTAGGATATGTATACTGAACAGTGGAAGTCGCTAAGTCAAAAATATTCACAAGTGCACCATCGGCGTAGGCCGAGACTATAAAAAGCCGAGCACTAGCTAAGCTGCTCAGTTCCATTTAGTCACTTGCAGGATCACTTGACTATTATTGCTAAGAATTTTCTTACGTTTTCTTTAGTACATTTTACGACTAAGATTAACGTAAATAAAGTGAAGTATTTCAACCTATTAGTCATAAGTAGCTTATTTGTGTAGTTGTAATATCGTTTCCACAGTAATTTTAGTCCACAGAGGAATCCAGTACTATAAAAGCTTTTTATTACAAGGTTCTAAAGAATAGTACAGCAATAATTAATTACTCACAAGAATCTAGTCTAAAGTAATCTGAGCTCAATTAGATATCAAATCTTTTCTCCTCCTTTACGCTCAGATTTGTACACCTTATATACTTTTCTCTGAATCTATTTAAGGCAATAACATCGTCTACAATCAGACATGAATCATCACTACATTTTACAGTATTAATCAAACTGCTACAATATTATTACTTTACCATTAATGTCCAACACCGTAAGGTATTGGGCATCTTTACAATCTTAGTATTTCAAGTCGTATAACGTCCTGTACCATAATTAGTTAACAGCTATATTAGTGAATAACACTTTCTAATATAGTAGTTACCAGTCACCTAAATCTAGCAGCACAAGAATATCTATTTTTAGAAACTTAACTATTCTAAATATAGTACGCAACACAAGCAAATCTAGGGTGCATCACTACAGTAGTTGAGAGTTAATTCAACTATGATAGGTCCCTAAGTTCGTTAGGAACACGAGTACTAGTGAAGATAGTGTTTAAGACCCGTTTTCTAGTTACAAAGGAGAATTGTAACATATGGTAATTAAATACTTTGCAGTAAATCATAAATCGAACCGTTGGATACCAATATAAATTTGATTTAAAATTGATCGAGAGAATGTTGATGGTTGATATCTTTGTAAGATGAGGGTGATCATTAAAGGAAGGCACCCAAAGTAATTTGAGTAGAACTGTGCTAAATGATATCTACCTGCTGCTCAGTTTATAGGTTATGATATATGCAATATTGTTATGAATAGGTATAGTACTATTGTGATGGTCATGATTTATTTATATTGAAAATAATTTTACATTTATAAAATGCGACCGATTGACTGATTTTATACCAATGATATGCTAATAAGTGAGCTTACAATTGTATCATTACATGACGTAGATTACTAACGTTGGCATATTAGAAAAACGGATAGAAAGAAGTATCGACAAGAAAGCCTGCCCACTTTAATTTATTTCATCCCCATCATCCTGATGAATTGTAAGAGAATAATGGATGAATGATTGAAAACCGCTAACAAATAAAGGCGTATCCAATTTGGCTAATTAGAGCACGTTCCTAACTGAAATAGACTTTGTAATGCTGATCTTGATTTGAAAGCATCGAGCATCCATGATAGTGTGCTCTTTACGTATTTTATCACTCATTTGTACAGCGATCAAAATTGTTAACCCTATCGAGTAGACAAATTGTGATTGATTATTTTTCTCGAATTGTATATTTTGATTGTTGTTGAAAAGTAAAATATGGCCAATCAGACTAGCAATTCTGCGATATTTGACGAGATTGAATCTATACGCAAAAAGGGCGTGAAATATCATGGCGAAGGCAATTATGAAGACGCGTTATTTTATTTTCAAAAAGCTGTAGCTCGAATCAAATCGATAGCGGAGAGTAGCGATAGTCGTCGTCAACTTGAATATTCTATTTATCTCGCTATGGCTCAATCTTACCTGCAAAAATATCAATTGATAGAAGCCAATGAATACAGTGGAAAAGCAGAAAAGTTAGCTAAGAAACTAGAAGAGGTCAAGATTTCTTATTGTTTCGATATCCAGGGCGACTGTAAACGACTTCAAGGTGATTTTATGGGTGCTTTGAGTGATTACAACAAATCACTTCAAATAAAATTAAAATCGTTAGGGAGTGAACATCTTGATGTCAGTAAGTCCTATCATAACATTGGCTTGGTCTACCAGAATCAAGGCAAGCATGACGAGGCTTTAAAGGAATACAATAAATCATTAAAGATTAAACTGAAAATTCTTGAAAATAACGATCCAAGTATTGCTGTATTATATAACAGCATTGGACAAGTCTATGATGATCAAGGCAAGTATGATGACGCTCTATCAATGTATAACAAGTCACTCAAGATTAAACTGACGCAACTTGGCGACAATCATCCAAGTATTGCTAATACATATGACAACATTGGAAATGTCTATGATCATCAAGGCAAGTATGATGACGCTCTATCAATGTATAACAAGTCACTCAAGATTAATCTGACACAACTTGGCGACAATCATCCAAGTATTGCTACAACATATAACAACATTGCAAGTGTCTATGATGATCAAGGCAAGTATGATGACGCTCTATCAATGTATAACAAGTCACTCAAGATTAATCTGACACAACTTGGCGACAATCATCCAAGTATTGCTAATACATATAACAACATTGGTCGTGTCTATGATGATCAAGACAAGTATGATGACGCTCTATCAATGTATAACAAGTCACTCAAGATTAATCTGACACAACTTGGCGACAATCATCCAAGTATTGCTACAACATATAACAACATTGCAAGTGTCTATGATGATCAAGGCAAGTATGATGACGCTCTATCAATGTATAACAAGTCACTCAAGATTACACAAACACAACTTGGCGACAATCATCCAAGTATTGCTATAACATATAGCAACATTGGTCATGTCTATAGTAATCAAAGCAAGCATAAAGAAGCTATTTCTATGTATAAGCAATCCCTTAAGATTCGATTATCAGTTTTGGGTCGCAATCATCCTGATGTGGCAAAGTCGTATAGCGGTCTAGGAAATGTATATCTTGCTGAAGGCAAGCATGAAGAAGCTATTTCTATGTACGAGCAATCCTATAACATTCTATTATCAGTTTTGGGTCACAACCATCCTGATGTCGCAAAGTCATATAACAATCTAAGAAATGTCTATCAAGCTGAAGGTAAGCGTGAAGAAGCTATTTCTACGAATGAGAAATCACTCAAAGAGAAACAAGAGGAACAAGAGAAGCAAGAAAAGCAAGGGGAGAAACAAGAGGAGCATGAGAAGCAAGAAGAGCATGAGGAGAAGCAAGAGAAGCAAGGGGAAAATAGGGAGCAAGAGGAAAAAGAGAAGCAAAAGGAGCTAGAGGAGCAAGAGAAGCGAGAAAAGCAAGAGAAGAAACAAGAGAAGCAAGAGAAGCAAGAAGAGCAAGGGGAAAAAAGGCATCAAGAGGAGCTAGAAGAGAAAGAGAAGCAAGAAAAGGAAGAGAAACACGAGAAGCAAGAAGAGGAAGATGAGTTAGCAGGTACCATTGAGCGCTTTGTAAGGTGTTTGATTAGATATTTGCTTTAGGTATTCTGCTTTTCATTATAATTACAGCACTAACAGCACACTACGATACCATACTGAAGTATTGCAGTCGGTAAACAACATGTCCACCAAGTATTTCTTAAAGTATAGGCGTTTCAACCCTGTTCAATTCTAAGTCGGTCTATTAGTCTAATAAGATCGAATAGATCGCGAAAATCGTTCAATGACAAACCTATTGTAGTAGTAGTGTGTAGTGCAGCCCCAATATAACTTAAACATTGATTCTAAGGTGGTATGAGTATTCGTGCTAGTAGTTATAATATTGTTACAGTTTGGTATATCGTGATGAGATGGAGCTGGGATTAACTCACAAGGTACTCCGACTGTCGGATAGCTGATATATTCGACCTACTGACTCACAACAACTTGGTAATCTTCGGTTAAGTATAGTAATGCTTTATTTCTCTATTCACTAAACTGCCCATAACCGCGAGTTCAGAATAACGCAATGTACGTAAATCTTAAGTTATTGCCTGGCCGTGCAGGACTTATAATCTGCAAACTGCAAACCTCTATTTTACACCGTATAAGCTTCAGGCAGTATTCTATTTTGGGCCATATTACACTCAGT